CCTCGGAGCCGCCGCCGCTCCAGCCTCCAGAGCCGCGAAGCCCCGCGGCCACAGGATTCTCCTACCTCGTTCCAGGGGGCGGGGCCTGGCGGCGGTCAGCCTTTCCTGTTGGAGCCTATCAGAGCCCCTCCAGGAACGCCGTGCCCCGCCCCCGTGGGCCCTGCGTCGGCCGCGCCTCCCAGAGCCCCGCCCCCCGTGGGCCCATTGCCCTCCGCGCCTCCCAGAGCCCCGCCCCCCGTGGGCCCATTGCCCTCCGCGCCTCCCAGAGCCCCGCCCCCCGTGGGCCCATTGCCCTCCGCGCCTCCCAGAGCCCCGCCCCCCGTGGGCCCATTGCCCTCCGCGCCTCCCAGAGCCCCGCCCCCCGTGGGCCCATTGCCCTCCGCGCCTCCCAGAGCCCCGCCCCCCGTGGGCCCATTGCCCTCCGCGCCTCCCAGAGCCCCGCCCCCCGTGGGCCCATTGCCCTCCGCGCCTCCCAGAGCCCCGCCCCCCGTGGGCCCATTGCCCTCCGCGCCTCCCAGAGCCCCGCCCCCCGTGGGCCCATTGCCCTCCGCGCCTCCCAGAGCCCCGCCCCCCGTGGGCCCATTGCCCTCCGCGCCTCCCAGAGCCCCGCCCCCCGTGGGCCCATTGCCCTCCGCGCCTCCCAGAGCCCCGCCCCCCGTGGGCCCATTGCCCTCCGCGCCTCCCAGAGCCCCGCCCCCCGTGGGCCCATTGCCCTCCGCGCCTCCCAGAGCCCCGCCCCCCGTGGGCCCATTGCCCTCCGCGCCTCCCAGAGCCCCGCCCCCCGTGGGCCCATTGCCCTCCGCGCCTCCCAGAGCCCCGCCCCCCGTGGGCCCATTGCCCTCCGCGCCTCCCAGAGCCCCGCCCCCCGTGGGCCCATTGCCCTCCGCGCCTCCCAGAGCCCCGCCCCNCCCGCCCCCTGTGGGCCCAGCGCCCTCCTCACCATCCCAGAGTCCCGCCCCCTGTGGGCCCAGCGCCCTCCTCACCCTCCCAGAGCCCCGCCCCCTGTGGGCCCAGCGCCCTCCTCACCCTCCCAGAGTCCCGCCCCCTGTGGGCCCAGAGCCCGCCGCACCTCCCAGAGCCCCGCCCCCTGTGGGCCCAGCGCCCGCCGCACCTCCCAGAGCCCCGCCCCCTGTGGGCTCCCTCTGGCGCAGGGGGTTAGGAATCGGCCCGGCTGCCCGTCCTGGCTCCCCGAGGTAGGCCTTTCTCCTCTGCGGGGTCCCTGTGGGCCAGGAGAGTGCCTGGCATGTTGCAGGCGTGCAGTAAATAGCTGTGGCGCGGATACCTGCGAAGGGCTTTGCTAAGAGGAAACGAGAGGGTGCCCTGAAGCCTGGTCAGTAGGAAGCCACTCAAAACCGGTAGCGGAAGATGAGCAGGCTTGGGGGCGGGGACCCAGCCAGGTGGAGGGCACGGCTCTTGCCAAGCAGGAGGCTCTCCTTTCCTACCCGACACTGCGGCCGCCTGTTGTTATGCTAGCCCAAGCACTCTGCATATTTGTTCCCAATTCCATTCATCAAAATTGTGTTGACCAACTAATAAGGCCAAACAGTTCATTCTTGGCACCATCACTTGGTCACGGGCATCTCAAACATAACTGGCCCCAAATCGAACACCTGCCACCTTCCATATATCAGGTAATGGCAACTGTCCTTCTAGGTGCTCAAGTCAAAACCTTGGAGACCTCCTTGCCTCCTGTTTTCCTCACTCCCCACATTGTCTCTGGGCAAAGCCTGTGTTCTCTACCTTCAGAACGCATTCTGAACCTGGACACCTCCCTTAACCTGCTCTATATTTTCCAGCCCCGTCACATCTTGCCTGGATTAGTGCAGCAGCTTACATTTCAACCACATTTATTCTCTCCACAGCAGCCCGACTAGTCCTTTAAAACAGATCACTCAAGACCCTGTGATGTCTGTTCATCTCAATCTGGAGTAACAGCCCTCACAGATTTACAAAGCACCACCCACACATTCTGACCCCATCTCCTACTGCTCTTCCCCTAGGCCACCACCGGGCCCAGCCACACTGGCCTCCTTGCAGTTCCTCAAACACAACAGACCTCAGAGCCATTGCACTAGCTGTTCCCTCTGCCTGCAATGCTCTTCCTCCAGATACTGGCATGACTGGCTTCATCACTTCCTTCAAGCATTTCTCAGATGTCACCTTCTCAATGAAGCCTACCCGGATTATCCTATCTAAAATTCAACCTCCCCTCTCCCACAATTCCCAATCTCCCTTACCTTGCTCTATATTTTCCACACCATGTACTATCTTCTAACACTTTTATATATTATGGTTTATATTAATAATTGAATAAAATTTAGGGAGACAGATAATACACAGGAAATAAAAGCATGAGTGTAGGCAAGTTTTCTATAGTGGTTAGTGCTATAATGAACATAAAACCCAGGGATGTGAGAGACTTGAGGGCAGGTGAAAGGGTTCAGAACAGGCCTCCCTAACATATGCTACTTTGGCATGTGGGTTATTTTGAGCTGAAGGCAATGCAAACCCTGCAGGCTCAGGAGAAACTTCTGTGCCCCCACAACTACCTAGAAGAATAAATTAGGGGCCTTGCCCATGATAACAGTTATTACCAGAGATAATGTTTTACGGCCTATGTATATGGCAGGGCAAATATCGAATTACCAAACATCTGCTCTTTTTTTTTTTTTTTTCCATCCTCACATGAGGATATTTTTTCCATTGCTTTTCAGAGAGAGTGGAAGGGAAAGAGAGACAGACACATTGATGCAAGAGAGACACATTGATTGGTTGCCTCCTGCACGTTCCTTTACTGGGGCCAGGGATCAAGCCTGCAACTGAGCTACGTGCCCTTGGCAGGGAATCAACCTGGGACTCTTTAGTCCTCTGGCTGACACACTAACCACTGAGCCAAACTGGCCAGGGCAATCTGTGAATTCTTATCGATCTCCTCCCCTCTGAAGCCCCAGGCCTCTGACCACATTCCTTAGCTCAGAATGTCATATGTTATTTTACTTTCCTGTCTCTGAACCTCTGTGTATGTGGGGTCTCTGAATCTCTCATGAATGTGGGGTTCCTGTACTTACGAATGTAATAAAGTTTGGTTATTTCCTCTTGTTAATCTTTCTCATGTTGATTTCATTATTTGACCAGCAGAAAGAACCTCGAAGGGTAGAGGAATGTTTCTTCCTCCCCCACACAGACTTCTTTATGTGTATAGTCAAGGAGGAGACATTTGAGCTGTGACCTAATTGATATGGAGTCCTGAAGAGTTAGAGCTGAGGGGTACGGGTGAGAGGGAAGAGCATTCTGGGCTGCAGGAACTGCAAGGGGAAAAGCTCTGAGGTGGGAACCAACAAGTTCACAGACACATGGTTTGAGCTCACTGGCTGCCCGGGCCATAGGGAAACCCCAGCCTCCTTCGTTTGGGGCGGGGGTTGGGGGGCACGGGGAGGGCAGCTAACGTTATACTCAGAGACTGATTCTGTCTTTGCCAACAATTTATTTAGCACAGGTTCATCGTGGGAATTATAATAATTTCACAAGCCAATAGCATATCTCTTAATAAACCATACTCCAAACAAATGACAGATGAATCACACTGTTGTTCCAGGCAAGGGGAGGTGAGGAATAATGTCCAAATTTAATATAAGGCGTCCCTTTTGACATGAGGAAGCACTCTGGAGAGCCAGCCAGCCAGCCACCAAAAAGCTGATTGCCAGCTGCCTGAGCAGAAGCACAAGCGCCCGGTTGCGGGAGCGCCGTTGCTAGGGAACCAGGAGGCCGGCTTAGCCCGAGGGCGGAGCTGCTGCGGGACGGTCGCTCCTGCGGCCACCGCGAGGCGTCCCGCCACAGCCCCACCCCCCTCCGAGAGTCACCGCGGCCACGGCTCCAGGGTCTCGGGAGAGTTTCTAAGTTACCGAAGCGTCGCCCTGCGCAAACCGAAGTCCTCGCACGCTCAGTATCTGTAGCGAACGGCCCCTTGTCAGAGTCGCTTCTCCGCGGGTTCTTAAAGATAAGCCCCCCGCTGACCGCTTATCAGCAACAGAAGCGGAACGATGACATCCTGGCACCGCTGACTTCAGACTTATATCAAAGCAACTTTTTTTTTTGGGGGGGGTGTCACAAACAAGTGGCTTAAAACAACTTCACTTGAGTCATAAGCGAGTGGATGTGAACTCGTATTAAGCTAACACACAGCACAGGCCTACCCAGGGCTGGGCCGGGCCCAGGCAGAGCCTCGGGGTGGCGGGGGGGTTGCAGGCCACTGGGAGTGGCACAAGCAGCAATGGGTAGTCCCGGAAGCAGAGATCTGGCCACTTCAGGGTCCCAGTGGCGTGGCCTGGAAGCGCGGCCGGGGCCTTGCAGACTGAGTAGGAGCCCGCCCAGAGGAGGCGGCCGCGGCGAGGCCACCCGGGCTGCGCTGGGCAGAGAAGTGGGCGGGGCGGGGAGAGGGGGATGGAGCGGGTTAGAGAAGGACTGCGGGCCCT